TTCACTCCAAATCTATTTTCATCTCCTTCCCTCTTTCTTTATCTACCCTTTTTCTTTTCTTTTCTTTCTTCATTGGAGCGGCGCCTCAGTACAGCTGGAGCAGCAACGCTCAGATCGGAATAGCAATGCAGTTGTGTTTTTTGCGACTCCTTTGCATAACTGGAACAGAGATGCTCAGATTGGAGTTGAGCGTCGTTGTGTGCGGCGATATGTTCGTCGCTGCTGCAACAATTTTGTGTTTTTTGTGGTGGTTTGTGGTTTTGCCTCGTGTTTCGTGGTGTTGACCATGTTTTGTATTAGTCTTTCTATCTTTATTGGACCAACGTCGTTGTGCGCGACGATATGTTCGCTGCCACTGCAACAGTTTTGTGTTTTTGCCGTGGTTTGGGGTGATTTGCAATGGTGCATCGATGTTTCTTTGTGGGTCTTGTGGTGGTGCATGCGTTCTAAGTGCTGCTGCAACAGTTTTGCGGTGGTTTTTGGTGATTTTTGCTGTGGTTTTTGAGATGATTTTTGCGGTGGTTTTGTGGCGATTTGTGGTGGTGGTGGTGATGTTGTAGAGTGGTAGGCTGATTGTGGTGGTGGTGGTGTCTACAGTGGTTTGAGATGATGGCTTTTCTGCCAAAAGGTGGTGGTTCTGGCGACGGTGGTTTCGGCTGCGATGCGGCTAGTGGCAGTGGTGAGATGGTCACAAGTGTTGGTGGTGGTCACATTCGGATTTTTTTTTATGTTTTTTCTGGTTTTGTTTGCACATGGTTGTGTTTTAGTGGTGCTTGTTGTGGTGTGGTGTGGTGTGGACTAGTGGTGTTGGTGGTTGTTCAATGGTGGTTGGATGATAGTCGTGCAGGTTATTGTTGGTGGCGATGACAGTGATGGTGGTGATGACGGTGGTTGTGGTGATGGCGTTGGTGGTGTATTTCTGTTGGTGGTGGAGATAGTTATTGTTGGTGGTGGTGGTTGTGGCGATAATAGTCACAAGTGTTGGTTGTGGTCACAAATTATTTTGTTGATTGTGACTATTAAATTGGTCAATCTGTGACCAATGAGAAAGAAAATTTGTGACCAAAAAAAAAAAAAAAACGCATGACCTAAAAAAAAATGTGTGACCTAAAAAACTGTTAGTTTGTAATCGATAATTTGACAATTTATGACTGTCCATTAAGTTGTGATTTATAATATTTGTGATCTGTGACCTATAAATAAATTGTGACGTTTCAATTTTTGATTTGTGACCTATAAATTTTTTGAATTGTGACCGTAATATAATTTGTGACATATAAAATTTGTGATTTGTGATCAATGAATAATATGTGACTTATTAATTTAATAGATTTGTGTCCGATGAATAATAAATTGTGACATATAAATTTTTGATGTGTGAGCAATAAACAAACCGTGGTCTATAAAAGTTTTGAATTGTGACCGTAAAATAATTTCTCATATATGAAAATTGTGATTTGTGATGAATTATACGAAATTTGACCAAAATATATGGAATCGTGACAATAATATATTTAATTAATTAATTTATAAATAAAATTAAAAAAATTCTGAAATTTGAAATTTTAAACTTAATATCTTAAATTTAAAATTAGTAAAACTAAACCTCTTAATTATGAAAATTTCCCACATATTAATTTCAATCATGTTACATGTATAACATTTGTTGACATTATTGATTTTCAACTATACATTTTGGTACCATCACATCCATCCATTATAAAAAAATGCTAAAAGTTATTTTTTATATAAAAGGTCCAAATTTATCTTTATTGTATTAATTTTGCCAAGTCATGTGATCGAATCCGACCTATAAAACATCTCATCAAGCTATAAACGATTTGTTTGTGTGACTATTATGTTCTATTTTTAAATTTTTATGTGTTGGTTTTGAAGGAAGAAAACAAATCTCGTTTATATGTGATGGGACATGTTGAATATAATGTTTAAATGATGAATTATACTAAGGGTCCATTTGATTGTAAGGGTGAAAAATAAGTGGAAAGAAAATGAATTTTAGAAAAAATATTTGCATAGAACTTGTTTTTAATAGAATTGTTAATTAAGTGTGTTTGATTGGTATAATTTTGGATCTTTTTGTATTCTTTTGGTTTTGTTTTATATGGAAATTGTCAATTAAAGTGATAATTTTTTTTTACAATTGGTTATAAAATTTGTTTCCATTGCTAAAAAGTAAAAAAAAAAAAAACGAAAAAAATAAAATTTCCTAAAAAATCATTTTTTAATTAAAGTTTAGTATCAGTTTGATTTTGTTTTACATAAAAATTGTCCATTAAAGTGAAATTTTTTTACAATTGGTTATGAAATTTATTTCTATTGTAAAAAAAAAAAAAGTATAATTTTCCACCCGGAAAATTTTTAAAATTTTGGATCTTTTTGTTCACGTTTGATTTTATTTTACATGAAAATTGTTCATTAAAATAATTTTTTTTTTTTTTACAATTTGTTATAAAATTTGTTTCTATTGTCAAAAAAGAAAAAAAAAAAGTCAAAATTCGACATTTCCCTCCACGCCTAGAAAATGGCGCGTGGAGGGGAAAACTTTTTCCACAATTGGGTGGAAAAAGTTTGGACATCAAACAACACCAAATATATGGATTCTACATGGAAAACACACCCTATCAAACACACTCTAGTTGTATATTTCATTACATCTTGGTATACATTGTGTGTAAATTCAAAAGAGTCATACTATATGTACAATCATTGTTGACAACATCCTATTTAGCAGCATCACATCCATTTAAAATTTATTTTTTACATCAAATTCTAGGTTTTTGACAACAAATGATTGTCAAAAAATGTTGTCAAGTAGTTTTACAACTAGCTTTATTGAATTCAAAATGTGTTGGACATGAAAGTGTGTTGTTTTTAAAAAGAATAATGTTAGGTGTACATAACCATTCACATACTGTTTCACATAATACTGACGTGTCAATCATCTACTTAAAGATGTGTAAGTGTGAAATTTGAATTAAATGTTGGATCACATGCCTCATATAATTATGTGAACCTGTACATGTAGTATTACTCATTAAATTTTTGGATTATTCTTCTTGTACATTGGGGTGTACATAAGGGTGTCCATAATGGACACCCGGCACCCCTTATTGGATGGAGTGTCGGCCTTACTGGTACTCCATCCAATAAGGAGATGCCACTCCATCCAATAAGGAGATGTCGAGTGTCCATTATGGACACTCTTATGTACACCCTGATGTACTTGTAGTAAAATTCTAAATTTTTAGATCAAATGATTTAATAATGTCGAGATTTCTTGTCCTGTCAAGGAATCGGGATGGATAGTCTCTGTTGAATTTTAATTTATATTATTTTATTTTATATTAAGTTTTCATATATAAATCATATTTTAAAAATAAATAAACAAGTAAATTTCCGTCGCTAGCTTCTCTCAAAAATTCTTGACGAGGCGTGGGACAAGGAGACTTGCCGTATCCCACTCCACTGTCATCTTACGAATTACTAACCACATACAATACAAAGTGAAGCCTTACTAATGAAATTGATTTTTCAATCCAATAAACAAAATTTTCGAAAACGGAAAAAAAAAAAAAAATCTCAATTCATACCTAATCAATAATAACTACAAAAATTCAAATTGATTGAATGCACTTGCACACAAATTCAAAAAAGAAAGGAAAAAAAATATATATATATCAAGAAACTACGATTAACCTCAATTAATAAGAATGTCGTGCTTTCTTCGAATTCTTCACAATAATTTATTAATTTTCATAGAAAATAGCAATAATTTTCACAAATGTAAAGAAAGAAAATAAAAAAAACCAGCTTTCCGTCTTCAGTTTTGAATATATTTAAACTTCTAGATTAAAAACTCATATTACATCTTTCTTTTTCATTATAATTCACTTTATTAGATGACAAATAGATATTATAATATTAATACAAATAGCCACCTTATGAGAATCTGTGTCTCCCACAAATACAATCCATACCTTTCTTCCCTCAGTCAAACCAATAATTTTAAAGAAATAATTTGTAACCCAACGACGCCGTTATTCTCCTCCTTTTGGTCCTTTCTCCATCTCTCAATCCATTCAATTAGCTACCCTCAAAGTCTCATGTTATTTGTATAATTTCATTACAACTTTACACTGACAAGCATCACATTCATTCATTTTAAAAATAAATTTTAAATCAACAGCACGAATTTTGACGATTCACTAGTTGTCAAACTAGTTGGAAATTAATTCAAGTCTCTTTTAAGTTTTTTTTGGTAATAAATTGAGCAAAACAAGAGCTTTTTTAAGAGAAATTTTTGAAATGATTTCCTCAAAATTATCTTCAATAAAATATTTTATTATATTCATAACTTTTTCCAATGTTTAAAAAAAAATATTTTTCACTTGAAAAAATATTTTCCGAACAAACGCTGAATATGTCCTCATGAACCGTTAGATTATCCTCCCCGACATGATCTACATATTATGGTCCTGTTTGGGAGGGATTAGATTTTTCTACAGTAAATCAATTCTCATTTTCAACCACACATTTTTCAATAAAATAATATTTTCTATCACATAAATAATTTTTTCTTCTTTTTTAACCACACATTTCCCATCATATTACTATTCAAAATTAATTTTTCCCCCCAAAAATCTCTTCCAAACAAGCTCTATGGTAGAATACCCAGTGAGCATGTTCGTGAACTTTCTTTGTCACAAGCTATTAAAGTACAAGTTAAGCATATAATACTTGACAGTTGATATGACTAGACTAATATGATGGACAAAGAAATGATAAAATATTAGAAAAAGAAAGTGAAAAAGAAACCTTGTTTTGTTCCAACTACAAAAGGAGCATTAAAATGAACAGATCTTTTCTCCGGTGGTCGATCTTGTAATTCCTTTTCTTCTTCGAAAGTTCAAACAGAAAAACACAGAGTTTCAAGTTTTCATCCCGGCATCGTCTCGGTGAGTGGACCGAGTCCATTGGAAATGGGTCAAGAATCGTTGATATACAGCTTCGTGGCTCGTGGCACAGTGGTATTGGCGGAGTACACCGAGTTCACCGGCAACTTTCCGGCGATTGCAGCACAGTGTCTGCAGAGATTGCCTTCTTCCAATAACAAGTTCACTTACAATTGTGATCATCATACTTTTAACTTCCTAGTTGAAGATGGCTTTGGTACTTATTCTCTTTTTGTTACCCATTTATCTGACCATTTTTTTTTTGCTCTTTGATCTTTCAATTTTTGGAGAATTTGATTGATTTCGAGTTGAATTGCAAGTGGGTTTTGTTGGATCTAAGCTAGAAAGCTAAAAGTTAGATTCTTTAATGTTATTATTCAAGCAAACAATAGTCTTCTCAAAACTCGATTTTTGTGGGGATTGTAGAGAATTGGGTTTGAATCTTTTATTTTGAAGTTGTTTGAATTTAGAAAAAAAAATGAAAAAAACTGGGGTAAGTTCTCCAATTGAAGCAAGAAAATAAATTTATGCTTTCTCGGCACT